GGCCCCCGGGCAGCCCCGACCCACCGGGGGGGTGACCGGTCCCGGTCCTTAACGCTCCTCTCCGCCCGCAGCCCCCGCGCTGGCCACCGGCATGAAGACGGAAGAGACTCCGTCCTGCCTGCAGCAGGCAACGCCGGTCCTGGGCTTCGGTGAGTGCCGGAGAGACCGGGAGCGGGTGCCACGCACCGGGGAGTGGGGACCGGGGAGACCCTCAGCCCCCCCCAGCCCGGGCTGCTCAGGCAGCATCCCTGGCTGCCTGCCCCATCCCCTTTTTTTTCATCCTCCCCGGCCGGGGGGGGTTCCGGCGTTTCGGCAGTTGCCGGCGTGGGCCCCGGGCGCCCCGCCCTCCTTGCGCTGCCCGTTTTCCCCCCAACCGTATGATCCCATCTGCCGTCAGCGGCATTCCCTGCTCCTCTGCGGTGTTTATTCCCCGCTCGGGAAGGAGATTCCTTCCCCCCCGGATTGTCGGGGTGATCAGGGGAGAAGGAGCACACACCCCCCTCCCCCCCTCGCTCAGCCTGGCTTTCTGGTTTGCCAATTTTGAGGCAGCAAAAGCCGCGGCAAGATGTTGGCGCGCTGCAAAATGCCATCTTGCAACCCCAAAGCAGCTGCGGCTCCGTGGGCTGAGGTTGTCCTTAACGGCAGACAGCGCCGGCATTTAGCAAGGCACAAGGCACGGAGCCCGGAAGGGACAGGGACACCGCAAGCATCCGCCCCTCGTCAGCCCCCACCTCCTGGATAAGCCCCTTCGGAGCCTCAGTTCATCCCGGCCCTTCGCTGATTTTAGGGAGCATCCCGCGCAGGGCCAGGCTGCGGTCGCGCGGCCCTCGACCATCCCAGCCGCGGGCGATAGCTGGCGAATTTTAAATCACAGCGAGGGTATCTGCCCACGAGACCCGCTGGGGAGTTCGCGTGCCGTGGGAGGGCCTGGAGGGTTAATTTCGGATAATACTGGGATGAGGCACCCGAGCTGCCTCCCCTCCGCGTCGACGCTGGGCTCGCCGGGTCGCGTCCCCCTCGTTGTCCCTTTTCCCTTTCTCAGAGAGCCGCAACGTGGTGGGTTGGGGTTGCTCTTCGTTAACGTATTTGCGGGTCCAAACTGTTGCGTTTTTATAAGCCTTTAGGGCAGCGTAAGGCAGAATCTCCTTTACTTTCAGTTTTGCCTCTTTCTCCCGGGCCGGCTGCGGGGGGGATTCAGGGAAGCTGACAGTTTTCCCGGGATTTTTCACATCCCCTCTTCCCCCTGGAGCTCGGGATCGCTCGCTTGTCTCCCGTTGTGTTACGGCATCACCGTGTTCGTGGCCTTGTGCCGAGGCGAGACTCAGGTGCGACTTATTGCCGGGGGCGGTGACCT